ACAAAAGCGCAGTATAACCACTAAGGTTAATAAAGCATATCAACTTTTTATTTTGGCTGCAAAATTGGAGATCAGGACAAGAGGTGGGCCCCACACATATGCTGCAACACTTGTGCAACAAATCTTCGCCAGTGGTTGAACAGGAAAAGGAAATCTATGCCTTTTGCAGTGCCAATGATTTGGAGAGAGCCAACAGATCATACCAGCAATTGTTACTTCTGCATGGTGCCTCCAGTTGGGAAAGGTGTGTCAAAGAAGAAAAAGTGGACTGTGCATTATCCAAACATTCCATCAGCTATAAGCCCAGTACCCCACAGAGAAGGACTGCCGGTTCCTGATGCACCAGAATCATTCTCACTTGAGTCAGACGAGGAAGAGGACGAAACTTCTGGTCCTGAAACATCAATGTCACAGGACCCACATTTTCTCCCATCCTCCACCTCTGAACCACACCTCATAACAAAAGGTGAACTGAGTGACCTTGTCAGGGATTTAGAACTACCCAAGAGTAAGGCAGAGCTGTTGGGCTCCAGACTACAGCAGTGGAATCTCCTGGCAGGTGAAATATTATCATGTAAAGCAACCATAAACACATGAAAACACCTAGGTTTACAATTTATGATTAAAACTCTACTATCTACACAATATACATAGACATAAAATGTAAAAACTTAAATATCTTAGAAACAGTAGCCAATCAACTGTTTTAATTGTCATATTTGAATTCAGCACATCAAAATACATAATAAATAGCACATTTTATCTCTGAAGCAGACGACTTCTCAAAAATTGTAGACCAGTGTTATCTAGACCGTTCCTGACAGGTGTTTGTCTAACCGGCTCTTAAAAATCTTCAATGATGGAGATTCCACATCCTCCCTAGGCAATTCATTCCAGTGCTTAACCACCCTGACAGTTAGGAAGTTTTTCCTAATGTCCAACCTAAACCTCCCTTGCTGCAATTTAAGACCATTGCTTCCTGTCCTATCCTCAGGTTAAGAAAAATTGTTTTCCTTCCTCCTCCTTGTAACAAACTTTTACTTATTAATAAAGGGAAAAGTTGGTAAGTCTTTGGCTTATTTGTAGCAGGATCATTCCTATATTCCGTGAATGGTAGCTAAGTGGCTGCGGTGGTGGAACATAAGTAATTCTTATAGTTCAACTTTTTCAGTGATCAGGACATCCCCCACTTTAACACGCCACTTCTTAAAAGGAGGGAGGCTCAGGGTTATGCCATTCAGCTGCATTGACCAATCAAGTAGCCGGCAAAGGATGCTGCAATAAAGGATGGTGATGGGGCTTCTGGTGTCCATGCAGCTGTAGCATATTTATTTTATGGGGAGAGTGGTGAAGTGGAATGGGCAGGGAGTGCAGGGGGAGCCAAATTCCATTCATATTTGAAACAAAAACTGGCTGTCTGCTTGGACTTTAACCACTTAACAGGGATTAAATCACTTTGTGCTTCGAAGTAGCTGACTGGCATTTTGGGAGGTTGAGGATGTTTCTGCTGATCGTGCTTTTTGTGTTTGTTCACCAGAGCAAAGGTGGGTTTTGTTCTCCTTCTGGCACAAAAATAGCTGGATCCAAGAGGAAGATGGAAGCGTTGTCAAACATTGTTTCTATAGCCAGATTCTAGCCTTCAGGCTGGTAAACAAGAGCAAAAGGGATGAAGTGAGACTGGAGGGATGACTGGGAATAGGACCATCCTGTGGCCCTTTCCTCCTGTGACACCCAATGAAATGCTGAACTACCCAGGTCAGTATTTGAACCAGGAGACCTGTGCTCTTATCCCTTCACAGAACTCATGTGCAAGACTTCCCAGATCACTATTCGAATGTGGCCTCAGGAACTTATCAAAAGGTTAAAGAAAATGACGGTTTTCCTGTTAGGGCAGCATTAACAGTTCTGGGAGTTTACATTTAATTTACATCTCCAAGTCTCACTAAACTGCTAGGTTGTGCTATTTGTTTTATATGCACAGGAGGGGAAGAGAGGGGGCCCCCTGCAGGTGTTATAACTATCCACCTTGCTAGATATTTCCCATTTACATGGGACAAAGCTCAGGGGCAGATGGTTTAAGTACCAGCCCCTGGCTCATGCAGCTTCTTGTGCACTCTTGAACCTTTGCTAGGTATATACTTTGCCATCCATAGCTATTTTTGCAATGCGCATGATGCTCCTAGATTAACCCTATGCACATGAACTAGTCAGTATTTGAGACACACAACAGTTCAAAGGTGATGTCAGTGCTACAGCAGAAGTTGCACAACTCCTATCTTCATTCTGCCCTTCCAAAATGTGCCAGTAACCTGTGTTCTGAATAGGCCAATGCTATACCCCATTTCCAGGCATTAGTCATTTTGCTGTAATACCTACAGTGTCCCCCACTCTTCTTTAATTCAGGAATTGTGTTTAAATGCTCTGACCTAATTTAATTTCTTCCAGCATGGCTAACCAAAGATTACTCCTCTGCATCCGGCATCAATTCAATTTCTTCTGCTTCACTTTGTCATCCTTCCAGTATAGATTTTCCAACTGCAGCAGCAGTTCAAGGAAATAGTGTAGAATACAGAGTGCACTGGCAGAGAAGCATGGCACTGTTTCTTTAATTTACTGCCAACTCAAATTTCAAGCTCTCAGGAATTATGAGTTAGCTCCCCGTGTTTTTAAATGACCCAATATTCAGATACAACCCTTCCCCTCCCCCCAACAATTATTTCATTCAGCTCTACAGAGATAGAGGACCCACTCGGTTAGTGTGTAGTTTATAAACTCTGTATATCTAACATGTCCATCTTCCATCCCCAGAAACTGTAAAACAAAACTAAGGAGGGCAGACCCAGGTCTTCCGCAGGGGACAAAGTATAAAGCTGGATAAAGAAACTCTTCCCTCGCTCACCAATGGCCCAGAACCACAAAAGAACAAGCACGGGGATGCTGAGCATGGCCATACCCAGGCTTTATGGATTCCATAGAGTTAAGATGCCCAAAAGCTGCGTTTGTGCCTAGGTGCCCTATTCTCCCCCTACCCCCTCCTTCACTGGCGAGCGGTGTCTGAGAAACCCAACATACTTAGCAGGCAGCTGCCTAAATTAACCAGGGGGAGGTGCTGATGAAGTGTATCCTGAACCCTGCCCCTCTCAAGGAGTTAAGCATCTAAATCTGGGCTGGAGGGAGGCACCTAGTTTTGCTTGCAAACCATAGCCATGAATCCTTCTCCTGGAGTCAGGCAGATTAGACATCTAAGGCATTTGAGGCAGTGGTGGTCCCCATGCTGCTTCCGTTATAACTTTACCTGGCTAAAGCATTCCCCTCCTTCTTCCACAGTCTGGGTGAGTGCTCATCTTCACCTGGTTTGAGGATCATGCTGGAGCTACAGCGTGAGAGAGGTGCCCAGATGACTTGAGGGAAGCAGTAGTTTGCATGCCCAGAGGCAGAAATTTAGGTGCCTATGGGACTTGTACAGCAAAAATGCAGGTGGAGAGTGTTTAGGTGCCAGATGAGCCAGGGTTTTGTAGCACTGAAAATCTGGGCTTCAAGCACTTAAGTCCCCAGCACCTATGTCTACTTTCACAAAGGGAAAGTAGTTTGAAGAGTGAAGTCCTAGGCACAGAACAAGTACAGCAAGCAGCTGGGACAGTGTAAGGTACCCCTCAGAGTGAACGAGTTCTGTCTCCATACGCACTTGACTTCTGTAGAGACTACTGACAAAAGGTGCTAACTGATTTCTGTAGAAAATGTCCAATAGAAACTGGACTCAACTCCCAATTCCTAGGTCAGTGAAGAGTCATCCACTGGTTAATTTATGGACCCACTGCTGAACAGGAATAGATTGGAACCAGTTCTCTAGTGGCAACAGGTTCTACATCTTGTTACCAATTTCTGAAACAACCTGCCCTTAAGAAAACTGATCTGAAAGATCTGAGGATTTTTCAATGTTTCTGGTGCTTATGACTCCAGCAAGAAAATACTGTACTATTAAGACTTAAATTCCCCATAAATAGTCAAGGCAGTGTGACTTTCATGTAGGGCAGTTTATTTGTCATTTTGAACAAATAAGGCAAGATATTTGAGCAAGATCATTCAAACAAGATCTCCTGTATCAAACTTTAAGGAAATGCAATAAGTCACTATTTCATACATATACAAACTAATGACAATACTAATATATACAAACAGTCAGCTCTTACAAAATAGCATTTCAAGTCAGCACTTTATGCCAGTGTCACTAATTTGTTACAAAAAGTTAAAGCTACAAACTTCACATTATTAAGTCTCACGTAACTGACATCATCAGCATCTTTGCAGGTTGGAAAGTGAAGATGACAGTTTGTCCAGAACACTTTTCAGTAATGCATATGGACCCATAAAGCAGGTGAATATAATTTTACAATTAAATGAACATATTGCTTAAAAACGTTGCCTGAATTGCCTTCCCTCAGGATATAAGCCTCAGTTGTCACAAGCTGGAGGAATTTAAGGAGTGAGCATAGGAGAGGCTCCTGCAGGGGATCTGAAAAGGGAAATGTTTTCTCTAGTTAAGATTACAAATTCTTGACGGTGAAAAAATTCCCATTTTTGTTCAAACTCAGAGTAGCAAATCTAGTTGTAGGCCTCAACTCTTAAGGGCATTAAAGGCAGATTTAAGAGAAAATTAAACCATTGGACCACTTCTTACTTTCACTGAAATGGTTGGCTATGAAAAAAATCACAGCAAAAGAACCCAAATATTTGAAAGTTATTTCACTAACACTATATTAGGCTGTAAGCACCAATTATAGCAATCAAGTTATGCACTCCGTAAAGTGAAAATTGAAGTCAAGCACCCAACTTAGGTGTTTTAAGTAAAACATGGGCTTCTCAATGTCTTCCTGTTGCTAAAAGAAGTTTTGTCTATCAGTGGTAAATATGGTATAAAGACAAACCATTCCTAACAGAATGGTCTTCTTGACATGTAAGCAATGCACTTAGCTTGCTACCAAGTCACTCATATTGTACATGTGCATCATGCTAGAGGCAAAATCCGTATGTACTAGAAGTAACTAAGCCATGATCCAGTATTTAAAATTAAAAAATTGCATCTTGTTACTGGAAGCTTCATTTAAGCAAGGGAATGTAATGAACACTAGCCCTAAAAAAACATTTGAGCATCTTTAATAAATATTTTTAAGTGAGAAAACACACACATTGGATGAATTTTTAATAAGTACTGCAGATGGTTTGTTTGTGTCCAGCATTATTAGTGTGCTGTATTGTCAACACAGGCGCTTACTAGCCTGCATGGTTCATTTAAATTGCCAGATTCTTATTGCTAAGAGATTGTCATCTACTAACAAAAACAGAGGTTTAAATTATTTAGCTTGTGCTGTGGAAGTGATTTTTAACTCAATTTACTTGGTTTCTTTCAAGATCTTCATGCTAGAAACTTTTGCAATATTAGAGGCTATCAAAGTCATGACTTCCCCACAGCTGGTTAATGTGGGTACACATGGAATATTGTTCCCATGTTGTACCAGAACACATTGCCGACTGCCTCCCTTTCTTTTCAGAGTCTGCCTGACTAGGCTGCTGAGCTCTTGCAGTCAGTTATAATAGCTCTATTTGCAGCTGAGGAATAAACTGAAGATGTTAAAAGCCAGATCCTCAGGGGTGTAAATTGGCATGACTCCTTCTATGCCAACGGAGCTCACTGATTTACAGCAGCTGAGGGTACAATCCCAAGAAACAACGGGTCTAAAACTATAATGCTTCTACCAGCTATGACAGGAACCTCTCTTGTTACTAGACGCATTTGATTTCAGGAGACATTGATATTTAATTGTGTGTGTCGTACCAAGGTCCGTTTCAGAAGGATGACATGAAAATAGTCCCTCTATCAGAGAAAGAAAATAATTGACATAGTTGCTCTTTACAAACATTTCATCTTATGCGGAATAACTAGATACAACTACAAGGGGATCCTAAAATCGAATCCAACATTAGCTTTGCTCTACTGCTGCCAATGCACAGCACACTCACTGTTAGGTCTCTGCATCTATAACTGGAGATACCTGGATTACTTTTTCTGTTTTGCTCTTTATCATGTCAGTGTAAGTTTATCAAATCATTTCAAGGTAACTTGACTCACACTGACGGTAAATGCACAGTCTGGTGATTTTCCACAACCCGTTAATACCATGAAAAAGGCAGACTTTACATAGTTATCCCAGACAGAAAACACACTATTTATCAGTGTGTTAAGAAAAACTGGAAGAGGTTGATCTTAGCCATATTAAATGCAGAACAGGTTAAGTTGGAACTTCAGTCGCCCAACTCATCTGGCGTCAATATATTGTTGTTTAATCTTTTGCGTAACCTATCTTTATTTTCAGCTTAGCTTTTCTGCTGTACTTGACCTCTAAGTAAAACATTATGCAATTAATTTTTCATCTAAAGATGGAAGCTTGAAATTTTAAACCCCTGTAAATCACCATAATTAGTGAAATATTTTTAAATCCTCTCCTTCGTGGAGCAAAAACTATCTAATTTCCCAAGAGAGGGTTCACACACAACTTTTTAGCACTCCAATGCTAGTAGGAACTAAATGAAGGATATTTCCCAGGATGCAGATGAAGGAGCATCTGCTGTGTTTTACATTGGAACTCTGCTTGGTTTTTGGTTTAAGTCAGTGAGGCTTTTAAACTGCAGAATAGCATTTGATGGAAGCACAGCAACATGCTTAATCTACCAGTATTAATTTATACAGTACACACAAGACAAAGCTACGGGCTCAAAAAACACTTGCTTAAAGCGCACAGGGTAAGGCATGGGGCTTATTACAGGCTTTTTAAAAGTAAAATTTGTTCCTTTCCAAAGATGGGAATAGTTTCTGCATCTTCTTGTCTACTCTTTTCAGTGACCTCTCCAATTTGCTAACACTTTCCACGGTACCTTAACAGTAGTAAGACACAGTTAAAATGTTTGAAACTGAGCCTGTACAAAAAAAAGAGATGCAGCCGTTAAACACCACAGTACATATTACATTCAAAAGGAAGAAAATGGACTACTGAAAGTTACATTAAGAAAATGAACCAACATTAGTCTTATTTGTATCTGTTCCCCTGCTTTAAAACAAGTTTAATCTAAAAACAGTAACAACTGAAATAATACACTTTCTATTTTAAATATATCCAACATTAAAACATACCATTATCCATCCATCAGGATGTCCCACTTAATGGCATTCCTGAGTTCAGAAAGGTGCTATGGAAAAATAAGTGAGCAGAAGTTTTGCTCCTTACTTTGCTAACACATTTCAATAGAAATCAATCTGCGTAGTAGTCATAAAAGCAAGGTTCTGATTGTTTCAGAGGGTGGACATTTATTCTACCAGTGGCGCTCTCAAAAGTTCTGTTGCCGACGTTTCTTGGCTTCGATGGCATCAAGGATTGGCTGCCGTTTAGACTGATACTTCTGGCGAATCTCTTCAATTTCCTGTTCCATCATGGGATCGAGTGCTGAGAGTCTCTTCTGAAGTTCCTCTACGCCCCAGCTCTTTAACTAGCAGAAAGGAAACAGAATGTGTACCAACGTCAGAGCCTGTGCAGATACTTGACAGAAAAGATCAACACTTCTGCAGGGAATTCTGCTCTGACAGATTATAAACATTCACACAGCATCCTAACAGTATAATGGTTCTGAACTAACCAAGGAAAAAGCAATAAGGGGTTAATTGAGAAACAAAAGGACAAGTGACATGCTTGTAAAATGTATACATGTCAAATATGCCCAAATGTGGATTACTATAGCCCTCTCCATTTACATAACCTGGAAGCAAGCACCTTTTTCTCTTCATAACCAGGATTACTGCCAATCACCCCCCACGCACGTTCCAAAATTAAGCTGCTTCTTGGAGCGAGAGAGTGGGACTCAAGATGCACATCACAACAGGTGGGCCATCTTGACTGGGGCATCAATTAAGTTAAAACTGAATTACACAATTCCTAGGAAAGCAAAGAGTCGGCTTCAAGCTATAATAAACCCTTAGAAAGGAACCTTTCATGATGTGTATGTGGCAAGAATTCCCACCTGATTGTCTAGCTACAAGGAATTAAGAACCAGCGAGAAGTTTAGAAAATGTAAGTTAAAACCAGCTAGGAATAGACCCAAAAAGCCAGAAGTCCCAGAGGTCAAACTTAGTGATACCCTAGAATGTCCAACATATATCTTTCATCCCAAATCAGAAATAGTACATTCATCTTCCTTATGAATCAAGTCAGATTCCAAGGCCAGGAGGGACCATTGTGATAATCTTAGTAACCAGGCTTTTGGTGTTCGGTCAGTACATCTGACTGGAGACTGCCAGGACCCCTTTTTGACCGGACTTTCCACTCAAAAACCAGGCTCCTGGCAACCCTTCATGGCACCTGGACACAGAAGCCAGAAACCAGACTGTCCGGGTAAAATCTGGATGGGTGGCAACCCGATTTATCACTCCTCCAATTTTTGTAATCTGCAAACTTTCTCAGTGATTTTACTAGTGGAATGGAAAGAGTGTTATCAGATATACATCTCTCTCTCTCTCTCTATCTGAATAATGTGTCTTGTTCCTCTAGTGTAGCGTCTCATGTATTTGATAAGCCCTGAAAGACGTGAAATGAAAAAGTATGTATGGACCATGTGTCCACCGGATTTAGAGGACCAAAGGGATTTTTTTTTCTTTGTAAAATGATAGGAATTGTATAGCATAAGAAGGGAAAAGATAAGCACCTAATCAGGGTTTAACTTTGAAATATTAGAAGAAATTTCATAAAATGGGGAAACTTCCCATTAGTTTGGGCTAATATTGAAATACAATCCATGAAGCAAATCAAACATAAAAACCCTCCGTCCAAGAGAAGCACTGAAGAAATTTGTTGTACACTGACGCCATCTACTGGATACTGGCAGAAGCAAGAGAGAAACTGCAATCTGAATGTCCAGGTGACCAGTGCCCAACAGAAAGTAAGAGAAGTGCCCTCCTCCAAGAACCTGGAAACAGGGTTTATAAACTTGATGCCACCGCAGGGACTGCAAAGTTTGCTGAAACTCCACAGCCAGCCTCTCTCTTCCTCCAGGGTTACAGGATGAAGCAGAGTTAACTGGACCCACAAGCAAGCTTCAGAAATCAGACCAGCCTTGGACCAGCCTCATGAACAGCACTTCCGTCCTCCAAGATTACACAGGGCTAAGAAGTGCTGAGAGTTTGTTTTAGAAAGTAAAGAACAGAAAGAATAATTCCGTATAAATAATCGAAAGTTGTCTTGTTGAGTCTACATTGTTGAGTGAGACCTCAAGTAACCATATTTTGGATTTTAAATAAGTAATGCTACTTGCGTGTTCTCCTTTGTAAGACCAAACAAACTAGCCAAAAAGTGACGTAAGAAATAACTTTAAGCAATTACTTTCGATATTTTAAGTTTGTCCCTTTCACACCAAAGTATTCAACTATCAGGGATCGCACTCTTAAAAGTGTCTGAAGACTAGTACATGCTTTTAATCCTTGGAGTACTGGAAACATGATAAATGTATCTGAGGTACTAAAGAATTGTGATTATGGTAACTGAATGTAATAAGAAATCTTGGTGATTTGCATTGTTCCTTGGTATAACTCCTGTGCCCCAACACTGGTCTACCATGTTGCAAATTGTTCATAAGCTACACACAGACTTGATTTATTTATTATTTAAATCTGTTAAATAAATGGTTTTGGTGATCCTTTCAGCCTGTGGATTGTTCAAAAAATATTTACCAACTCCATCTCCCCAAAACGGCCACACACTTGTGTGCAATTACTTCTATAAATATTTGCACAACGATTGACAACACTCTTGCTGCAGAACTTCTTGTAGGAAGGTATGGAAGAGCAAATAAAATATGCAATAGAATTTGTGGTTTTATGTGAACAAAACTGATTTTTAGAGGTTTAATTAACATTTGAATTAGAGTATTTCTCTTTACTTCTGTTAAATGCAAATGGCACTGCTCCAAATGTTTAATTTTTAATTATGCAGCTAAAGTGGTTGTTTTTAGTCATTTACCAACCAATACTACACAGCTAACACAATTATTTCCTATCAGAAGTATAAGGGTACTGTTGGCAAATTATTATTGAATGACAATTGCTGTAATTTCAGAGTCCTCAATGTACTAAAATATTAAAAGAAATCCAGGTAGTTATTTAAGTGCTTAGCAAATGAAGTACTCCTTTGCTAGGCTTGTCTTAGATTGTAGAGTGAGATTTCCTGGAAGTCACAAGGTTATCTGTTAGTAGATCCAGCAGGACTCAGATTTGGGAATTTCATTAGCGTTTTTGTGCAAGATAAGACATTATTTCCCACCAGGAGCTACTTTAAGATTATTAATACATACATTATAACGATCCTAGCACAAGAAAGCTTTTTAGCAAGGATACAGAGTGATTTTGCTTATCTAGTATAAAAATTGTTCACTAGAAAGACAAGGTGTTTTCTCCAAAAGATATACTTTAAACACATTAATACAACTTTATTAGACAGCAGTCTAAAGCTGATGTAAGGCACCTATTAACTTTTCGTGCTGATTTAACAATTTGTTTTAGAGAAGATAATTATTCAATATTCTCCTCCTTAGGAGTCTGGGGACTATAACGTAGTCAAGTAAAGTCAGACAAAGAGGAAAACCTTGAAATGGCTGTCATTCCCCACAGACCAGCCAGCATTAATACTACAAAACGAAAGTTTTAGAAATGACATGACACCTCATGGTTCAGGGCTTACGCCAAACTAACTACTAGAGGTTAGGGGGTTTCCCTGAGGAGAGTATTCTCTATCTGCATATTGCAGGGTTTCTTGCACCTTCTCTGAAGCAGCTGATGCTGGCCACTGCCTGAGACAGGATGCTAAAATAGGTGGACCACCATTCAGAATGGCACTTTCTATGTTCCTAACAACACTGTACATGGGAAGTCTCAGTCCTCATCTTCAAGGCTCTTACTGACACTTAAATAACCTCGATCTGGGATGAAGACCACAATTGTCAATTATGCACAAAGCAACTATCTATTGCAAGCATAATACTTGTTTGTGCTGGAGCCAATCTAGGACCAGAACTCTCACTTTCAGAAACCAAGAACACACCTGACCTACCTCCAGCCAAGTGCAGGGTGTGCTTTTGACTTGGCTTTCACAAATGAAAGCACATAGCACTTCATAACAAAATAAAATCCATAGACTATTTCTCCCCTTAGTGAGAGGAGAGACATGGAGAAGGTACCCTATACAGCACATATTGCTTAATGCATCTCTGGAAGATGCTCAGACACCATGCTGATGGGTAGGGTACAAGAACCTGAAAAGAGGTGAAAAATTGGAACAGCAAAGGTGTTGTGGGTCAGTATCGAGAGATGCATTGGTGGAGAGGTGGGAAGGATACAAAAAATCACACCTACCCAGAGCTAGGGCTACAAGTCCTTCACTTTCATTTAAAATAAAATGATATGGAGTTATCAATATAAGCCGCAGATCTTTGCTGAGACCCTATGTGGTTAGTGTAAATCCTTTTCATATGTCGGTAATCACAAGTAATTATAATGGATTTCAAATCCACTACAAGTCCTGTAATCTGAAAGGTCATTTTATTAAGGTTGTCCCCTACCCCCAAAGTGTCTCTCTACCAAAATAAACTCTTCTTTTGCCTAAAAAATGGCATGGCCCCTGTTTGGGTAATTGGGGCTCCAATACAAACCATACAGACCATTATTTTCTACAATATATTACATTTTTACCTTCTACATATCTGTCATGGAGCAGTGTCACAAACTTCAGTATCGCACAAATTTATTCTTACTGGAATTTATTTTTCTTTAGGAAAAAATGCCAGAGGCAAAATGATAGGAAAGAAAGGAAAAATTGTCTCACAATGCACAGATATTTGGGGGTAGAGGTCGTCTCGTCCAGTCCCCTGTGCTAAGGCAGGACCACGTGTATCTTGTCCATTCATGACAGGTGTGTGTCTAACCTGTTCTTAAAAACCCCCAACAACAGGGATTCTACAGCTTCCTTTGGAAGCCTATTCTAGTACTTCACTATCCTTATAGTTAGAAAAACTTTCTAATTTCTAACCTACAGCTCCCTTGCTGCAGACTAAGCTGATTGCGTCTTGTCCTACCTTCACTGGACATGGAGAACAATTGATCACTATTCTTTTTATAACAACCGTTCAAATATTTGAAGACTTATCAGGTCCCTCTCCTCAGTCTTCTTTTCTCAAGACTAAACACTTTTCTCAAGTCCAGGATCTTTTTTAACTTTTATTCATAGGCCAGGTTTTCTAAATCTTTTATCATTTTTGTTGCTCTCTTCTGGACTCTCTCCAATTTGTTCACAATCTTTCCTAAAAGTGTGGTGCCCAGAACTGGACAGAGTGCTCCAGCTGAGGCCTCACCAGAGCTGAGCAGAGCAGGACAATTACCTCCCATGTCTTACCTATGGCACTTATTAATACACAGCAGAATTATATTAGGCTTTTTCGCAACTGCATCA